ATTATAAAATAAATAAAATTATAATAAAATATAATTTTTCATAACTAGGAAAAGATTAAGGAATTAAGAAATTTTATATCACTATGATAATAATATCTAATAAATTATAATTCATCTGATTAATTATCTCTATTATTAAATAAATCATTAAAAATAGTTTGAATTCTTATCTTCTAGCTTTATTCAAATCAAAATTAATAATTAATATTAGTCATAATTATTATTCTTGAGACTTTAATATTAATAATATTTTAATTTATTTTACTCTTATATTATCTTATAGTTCTTCTATTTGAATTAAAAATTTTTTATAATTAATTCTTATTTTTAAAACTAAACTAAAATTAAGTTATCTTCTAATATTAAGATTATAAATAACTTTTTGATTATTATCTTTAAGTATTAACTGATCTTTATTAAATTATAAAGTTCTATTAAATTTATTATTTTTTAAATAAAATTAATATTATTAAGAAGAATATTTATCTTGAAAGAATTAATAACTACTAAGAAACTAAATTAAATATAAGAATATAAGATTAATAAAAGAGAATAAAATTTAAAAAAAATATTAAAATAAATATTTTATATTTATAAAACTAAATTTTTAATAAATTTATATATATATATATATATATTACTAATTAAAATTTATATAAAATTAAAAAATAAATAAATAAATATTATATAACTAAAAATTTAATCTCTTTTATTATTAATATTTCTATATATTCAATAATTATTCTTAACTCATTTCTATTAAAGTAATATTTCAGTTAAGTATTATTAAAAATTTTACATAATAATTAATTATATTAATTATATAGTCTATAAGCTTTATTATCAAGAGTTTTTAAAGATAAAACTATTCTATACTTTATTATAATTAAAATTTATTTTTATAAGTAATATATTAATATATTAGAATTTTATTACCAATTTTAAATTATATAATTCTTTATAACTTTAAGTTATATTTTTTTTATTTATTAATATTATCTTTAAATTTAATTTTATATTATATTAATATTATTAGATAAATAATAAATAAAAAAGAATATTTGATCTAATATTTTATTTCCTTTATTTTAATTTTCTTTTATTAATAATGAATATTTCAAATTAATAGATAATCAGATATTTCTTTTATAAATTAAAAAAAGTTTATACTTTATAGTATTATTTTAAAATATTCTGTATATAAATAATATTAATAATATATATTTTATTGATCATTTAATATAATATAATATTTTTAAAGTATTCTATATAAAGTTTTATTAAATTATTCTACCATTTTGTTAGTTTATAAATAATAAGATAATGAAAATTTAATATTTAATTCCAAATTAAGTAATAAATTTTTTAATTATTTAAGTTATAAATTTAGTTTCTTAATTTAACTATAATTCTTTAGAATATTTATATTTATAAATTATATTTTTAAAATAAATTTAATAATAATATTAGCTTCTTTATTTGAAATTGCTTTTGTTTTAAACTATTTAATTAATAAATTTATTACTATAGTAATATATTTATTTATTTCTTGATTACTTTATAAGATTTAATAAGATCAATTATAATTCTATTAAAAGACTATTCAATTTTAATAAAATATAAAGATTATTTTATAGTTTATTTATTAGTTATTCAACAAGTTTTACAAGATTTAATAAATTTTTTTATATCTATTTTTATTTTATTTTATTAATTATTCATTAATAAATTTTATTAAATTCAAAATATTCAAAAAATAAATTTGAATATATATTAATTATTATAACTTTAATTTTATTTTTTAGTATTCAAAATAATATAATAGATTTTTTTCTTTTATAAAATATTTTATTAATTATTAAAAAGTATTTTAATTACTAATAAATTTTTTTATTATTTTTTAATATATTCTATGGAATAATTTTTATTTTCTAGATATCTTATTAAGTTATAATATATAATTAAATTTATTATATTGAGTTGATCAGATTTAATAATTTATTTAAATAATTATTTAATAAATATTATTTCAAATAGTTTATTAATTAATTGAGTTTTGTTTTTCTACTTTTATAAATATATTTTTAAAAGAATATCAGTATTTTAATTAATTTTTCCAGCTAGATAAGTAATAATAAAGTTATATTCTATTATAATTATTATTTAATAAGAAATTTTAGATCCAGAATTAACTAGTTATTAAAGTATATTGTGATTAGTAATGATTTCAAAAAGTAATTCAAGAAAATAATATTTAAAATTATTTAATAATTCAAATTATAATCAGAACTTCTTTTTTAATAATATTATAATTCTTTTTTTTTAGTTTAAGTAAAATATTTATATAGACTACTATTCATTCTCTTTTTTATTCTTTTTTTGAGATAATATTACATTAAGTTCAGAATCAAAGATATCAGTATATAGATAAAATTTTTTTATAAAATCAGAATAAATTAAGATTAAAATAGTAATAAGTTTTTCTTTCAAAATTTGAAATATATTTTCTTGATCTCAAAAAATAATATTATTCTTTAAAAGTTTAAATAGAAATGCTATTATTTGTGAAAATTCTTTAACAAATTTTCTATAATATTTAGCAAGCTCTAGAAATAATCTAAATTTCTTAATATTTATTAGAATAGAAAATTCTTGAATTTATTAAACTATTAAAAAATCTGACAAAATTTTATTCTAAGTAATTATATATTCAAGAAAGAATAAGTTATTATAAGTAAAATTATATTTTTTTAAATTAAGTTTTAATCTAGCTTTTCTAATTTATTAAAAGATTTTTTATAAATATATTAGATATTTTTTCTAAGTTTTTAAGTAAATATTTATATTATCAATATAAATCATGATAGATTTCTAATTATAATCTTTAAGTATATTATTCATAACTTATTAAAAGATTATAGATATATTACAAAGTTTAAAAGACATAACTTTGAATTCATATAATTCTTCTCTTAATATAAAAGTTATTTTTTCTATATTTAAATGATTTCATTTCAATTTGCTAGTAATCAAAGATGAGATTTATAGATAAGAACTATTTTATATCTTCAAGATTATTCATTATTTCATCAATTCAGGATAAAGAATAAGCATCTTTTTTGTGAAAATATTGAGCTTTCTATAATCAATACAAAATTATTTCTTGCTATTTTTCTTTACTATTATTATAATAGGTAAGATTCAAGAATTATTGGAATTTTGAATAATATCTACATCTAACATTTATTGATGAATGAATTCTTGATCAGGTATAGTTACTTTATAGACTTTTTGACAAATAAGCTTTTTATTATCAGTATTAATTGTATATTAAATTATATTTATATATTCAAGTTCATTTATATCTTTATAAGCTTATAACAGATTATATAAGATATCCTATTATTCAATAGCTAATTCTTTTTGTTCAATTACTTTTTTGATTTCTTCTTTATCTAGGAAGTATACTTTTATTTTATCTTTTCTAATCCTTAAGTTTTGCAAGATAATTCTTCTAGCTCTATTCTAGTATTTATAGGACAAATTTCTTTAATTAAGACAAGTTGTAAAGAGATTGCTTGCGGATTTAGATGTTAAAGAATAAAATCCAATATTAAGAATTTCTTATAACGAAGCTTTCTTATATCGAGAGTCGCTGTATCATTTGGTAAGATAGAAATAATTATATTTACAAAGAAGACCACGTGACAGTTGTGGAAGTCGGAATGTTACTATTATCTATTAGTAAATTGAAATCGATATTTATATTATCTATGTGTTTACTTACTTTTAATTGCAGCTGTTATAGATTCTGAATTCGAATTACTAAGACAAGAAAGAAAATTGTAGGTACGAAAAGCCTTGATAAATAAAGCGATTCTAAGTTTAAATGTAAATTATTACCTTTGAGTGTTTCCGGCAGATGTAGCTTTTTGTTGTGAACTATTAATGAAAAAAGTTTTATTTATCTAAATGTTTTGTTTATTGACATTAGAATTAACTTACTTCTTATCTAAAATTGAAGATGCTTGAGTGATCGATTGTGAAGTAGTGATCGGTGATGCGATAGGTTTAGGTGTAGGTGTCACAAAAGTAGTGAGGATTTCAGAAGTTGGTGCATCGCTATTGCCCTCTTGTGGTTTGGGTGTAGATATCGCAGAACTAGCGGTCGGTCTATTCATAATAAATTATATATCATTTAAAGAAAGATTGTAAAGTTATTCCAAATCAAATTGAAGGTTTATAGTTACCCTGAATAATCAGTTGTAGCAATTGTTGAATAACTGGAAATTATTGACCTATTAATTGATTTAGGAGCGAATAAAAATTAACAAATAAACGAAGAAATGAATATTTATCTAATTACGTATTAGTCTCTTCCGATGCCGGTACCGATTTGTCTGACAATGGAGTTTCTGTAACTTTTGGAGCAAAATTCGAATGTGTCATTGTTGAAGAAATTGATGGCGTATTGAAGGGAAAAGACACTTTTGACACAAGACTAACTGGTTTCGCCAAAGTTAAGGAAGCACTTTGTATTTATATTATTATGCACCCGTTCAATTAAAGAAGGTTTTTCAAAAATATACTATATCAAGCAGATAATTTTGAATTAAAATTCACTGTAACGAGAATTTTATAGAGTCAACTGCATGTATTCTATAATTCGGATCTATCTTTTGAATATGCTTTTTGCTATGCCAAAAGTGCAAATTTATTGACAGAGTGGTTATTTGACTCTAGTTCGTAGGTTTCTTATTTGTTCCCAGCGTATGATAAGCTTCTTTGTCTGCTCCCATTACAAGACAGGTATGTTATGGTAAACTTTACAATTAAAAAGGTTCCACGAGGTTTTCTTTGCTAATTTTAAATTAATTAAGATTGATTATAAATAGATTCAAATTTATAACGAGATAGTTTAAAAACAAAAATTGAAGATAGAGTATCCCAGATTTACAATTTTTGAAAATTTAGTCTAATGATGAGAAAAGAGAATGAAAAAAAAGAGGTATTTTAAGTTATGTACTAACGGATGTATATTTTCGTAGAATCATTATTAGTTTAGTAACAGCAAAAGTAATAATAATAATATAATAAAACAATAATAATAATAATATTTTACCATTGTCGTCATCGATTCTTCGTCAAAAATATCGCCAATTATAATTATGATTAAATACATAATAATTGTTATAGTGTAGGTCTAAGAAGTAATAATACATGTAAGGTTGTCGTATATATATATATATATATATACTATTATAATACATAAGAAAAATGAAATTTAACCTTATACTAGCAACCTTTTCATACTTCTCAAATAAATAAATTAGGACATCATAAACTTTTCCGTATCCATGCACTGTTTTATATCGTTTTGAATCCAAGTATTAACTCTCTCTTATTTCCTTGCTTGTTAATCAAGTCTGTTTTTAGAATGAATCAAATAGTTCATTTAGTCCTTTTATCTTAGCTTAAAATAAACGATTGGGATAGATATAGCTCTATCTATGCTTTCAAAAGGCTTCGAGTTTGCCCGAAAATCTTTTCCTCGTTCGATCTCGTTGACATCATAAAAAAATTTTCTTCTATGGTACATAACGTCTAAAGTCATTAAATATCTCTTAGCTAAGAAGTAAATTCAAAATTTAATCCGTGAATATGATAGAATAAGTCTTTCTCAATTGCATTCACAGATTAAATTTGAATTTTACTTTTAGTTAAGTAGTTTATATAATTTATGAAATAATAATATTTGATGACTTTAGATATTATGCACCATACATGCATTTATAAAAAATTGTGAAATACCCATTTTTCGGTCGTATGACCAAAAATTAAATTTACATACAAAATGTGGGCTTTTACTAATAGCACAGACCACTTTGGTTTTAACAAGGTGTGACTGTATTTTTTTAATATGGTGTACTTTATGTAAAAGCTTAATAAACTACTTAATAAACTACTAATGTCTATCGCTATCTATATTGTACAGTTATATTTTTATACATATATTACACAAGAAGTCAAAAACTTCATGTTTGCCTGAAAACGAATAATACAAAAAAGATCGCACGAATATGCTGAGACATCCAAAATTGTCCAGAATTTTCTGCTTTACATGAAATACATGACCTAAGGTTGATCGTTCAAAAGAACAAATTATTAATTCGTGGTAACAAAAAGGCTGAGATTTTTTTTGACGTACCCTTTGAAGTTCAGGTTTTACAGCGATAAAAAGATTTTTTTGAATTCCTTCGGTTTCAGTGGAAGAGGTTTCGACGAAAATGTCATTAATACCATGCATATGGAAGCGTGTCCGTAGGCAGGCTAAGTGTGCGTAGTATACAGGCGGTACCTTTTTCGATGATAATAATATATGGTAAATTGAGCATAAAAAGAAACATCCAGAATAACGAAATTTACCACTGATACTGATCTGGTGCATCGCGCGTAAAGATAACATAAATTATAAGAAAGCGATTGCAAGCTGATATTTGAATATAAATGAAAAAAATTAATATGCATATCGTAATTCAAAATTCCTTTAAAAATCAAACTTACTGGTCTGGACCTAGTGCATTTTCATCATGTAATACTTGATAATGACAAGGACGACAAGTTCCTTGTAAGCCCGCTTGGCTTTGAAGATCTAAAATAAAATAGTAAATCAAAATTTAAGCATAGAAAATGATTCACTCGACCTTTAAATCGATACTTGCAGAAATTATATTCATCAGGACGTGTGATCATCGTGTCGACTACAGTTCCAGTTCGGCAATTGCCAGTGCGATCTGCATCGTTTTCCGTTACCGGGAAGAATCGTGTGTGATGTCTTTTTTGGACTACCACGAAAGTTATTGTTGGATTGTAGGATTCGTCTAAAGAGTTACAGGCTTCTATTGTTATTGGGGGAATATTATGGGATAAAAACATTAGTACCGTTTTTCGTAAAGGATTAATGATTTTCCATATTAAAACCACACCTTGAATTCCTTTCAGTTCGTTTTTCAAGACTGCACTGAATTGTCCTTCCGAGACACCGTCGCGATAGAAAAGAATCCTTTCTGGTTTGTTTCCACAAGTCTGGTAGAAAATCTTTAGCAGTTCTCTAACCATATTTTTGAGATCTGCAATGATCTCAGCGCAAGCGTTTTGCATTCTTGTAACTGCGGAATATCGCGAAGCTTTGGAATCCATAGTGCCACAAACAGAAGTGATCGAAGCCTTTTTCTCACCTAATAAAAATTTAAATTACAGGATCAAAATGGTGATTCGTAATTCAAAAATTTACTCAAAAAAAACCTAATTTATACCTGGACCAGGATGCGACACATCAGCACCTATAATAATTGTCGGTCTTTCTGAGATGAATCCAATGTCAACGGGTGTCAAGAACGAATTCATTCCTCCCAACTTGACATTAATCTTGATACAAATGTTGGCACAATACTGTTTCTTGGCTGTGAATAAATGTTTACTTTGGCAACACTGAGTAGCGACACCAATCGTTGTATCCCCGATGCGCTTGATCTCGGCATAGAGCGTTACCCCGTTATTTGGAAGGATGCATAAAAGTAATTGAGGTTGCGCTTTGGCTGCGTTTCCTGCGTTTACCCATGCTTGTTGCATAATTTCGGTTATGTTGGCTTGGGGATTAGCATACGAGATTGGTGGGTTTTTGCCAGGAACATTCTGTATTATTGACAAGTCAACAATTAATTAATTAATTAATTATTAATTAATTAACAGAATTATTAAATTATTTACCATTCCAGTATCGACACATGTAATGGTAAGTTCTCGCACGAAATGTCTGACCGACTGAATAGGAAATTCCTGATCTGATGCGAATACAATGACAGCCCATGAACCAAGAGTAGCTCCTTTGGCAACCTTTTTGCCGCGAAGATTCCATACACCATCTTGCGGCTGAAAAGAGGGATTACGAGAAGAAGGGTGGTAGTTTATGGTAGGAGGTGGGAGAATTCTTGCTGGTGGCTAAAAGAATAAAAATTTCATGTATGATCAATCAAGAGATTAAAAAGCACACAATGCACTCAATAATATAAAAATTTCGCTTTACCTGAACCATTTCGAGTCCAATTTTCATTCCGAATTCTTTCAAGTATTCGTTTTCACGATATTTCAAAATCTTCAAGCCGGCATTGATTTTGTTTGCTCTGATGTGAGGCGGTTGACAAGTAGATTTGATCATATCTGCCGTTTGTTTTTCATTAAGTTTCCTTAAATATCGCTGCCCCTAAATACAAATAAATTCATTGATTAATGAGATAAATATAACGAAGCAATGAAAATCATATATACCTCAATAACGCTACAAACTTCCATTGGCAAAAATATATCTCGTCCGACTATTACACACGGCAAAAATGGGTACGCAAGACGAATATTGTAAGCTCTCAGGAAATAAGTCACTACATCAACAGGTTCATTGTTTATTTGAAACACGATTTGGTTGGCGGATTTTTCAGTCAATCTATTGATTCGGATTCGACTATGAGCGACCGCGCCACCACGATGATTAACTCGAATTTTCAAGTTCTTTAGGAACTTTTCAAGTTTGACTCTATCATGTTCGCCAATCCCTCTTCGAAGATCGTCGGGTGACCTCTTTCCCAATACCTTAGCAACAATTGGAACCAACGGACCACCTTCATAGAAAGCAGTAGCGCTCACATCGACGTTTATCATCATTTTTCCTGCGGTTGGTCGAGCAGATTGATAATATCCTTGCCATACTTCGACTCCGCCATACAAATGTTGTGAGCCATCCGATGTATAAAACGAACGGCCGACAGTAGCATAAGTCATAGATGGCTTGTGTCTGATCAAGATATCCAATGCCATAATAGCTAAAAATTGAAAATTATAAGAAAAGACATTATGAAATTACGAAAATGGTTTTTTGATCTATCTACCGGTTAAGCAAGTAGGAGTTATCTGACTTTCACCATGCAAGAAATCGTGTAGCTCTTTCATTAAAATCAGGCTGGTTCTTTTGATCTGAATTTTAAAGGTGCGAAGGGGACGTTTCGCTCTTTGGATACCGCCGTTTTCCTCGGGTAAAGTTACCTTTATTAAAATAATAAAGATCGATTTTTATAATGAATTAGCGAATCAAAGATTTTTTGAAAATTGACGCGCAAAAGATTCTTACAGAATGTACACAGGAATCTTGCAAAGGCAGTTTATTTGTTGCAAATAAATTCTTGCGGCCTTTTTTAATTACCGAAATCCAATGAATAAAATGTAAAACACAGATCACGATTCTCGCGAAATAATCAATATCGATATACCATCATAAACAGGTTTAATTTTTCCAAAAACCACCGCGCCGTGGATTCGAACAAAAGTATCGTACACTAGTCGGTTGATTTTCGGGAAAATGTCGGGCGTGATAGAAACATCATAATGATGAATATTCAAAGATGGCAGCATTTCCACCGGATAAAAGTTTGCCCTAACGCGTGCTGGTTTGCCCACGATTTGTCGAGCGTAGCTTGATAATGAAAATGACTGAGTTTGGGCCATGAATAAATGTAATTGTCTGTGTGTGATTTGTTTGTTTTCGTTAGTTTCTTTACAAAAAAGGATTATATTTATATTATTTTTTATATGATATCTATAAAGAGAAAAGAGAAGAATGATAGAATTTATTTGGGACTTGTTCTATTTATACATGTCTCGCAGATTTAATTGAATATTTAATTTATATGTAAGAGTAACAACACGTAACATGATATTTCACGGTTGAATTTTTTTATAGACACGTCATATTATTTTCTCAAAGCCAGATCACGTCAAAAATGTTTGATAGAAAGAATTGATATACTGTAATAACAGTAAGTGATAAAAAAAATGCATAATACATACACACCCCTACAATATATTACCGGAAATCCTAAAAACAAATCTGTCACTTTGAAATCCAATATCTCAAAATTCAATGATCCAATTTAAATGAAAATACTCTATTAAATTTGTCGCGACTCCACAAATCTTATGATAATATCTTTATTTAAATGAGATCACTAGATTACAAGAAATTGGGTTCCAAAATGATAGTTTCATTTTTGAAATTTCCGGTAATATATTGTAGGGGTGTGTATGCTCTATTCGGAAAATATATAACAAAATACATATATTTTATAATAGATTTTGACTGAAATGAATATATATATATATGCTCTCTGATACTAGCTCTAAAAGGACCCTTCCGAATTAGCATTGTTGCATGAATAATAGATCCGGCGATCTGGTTTTTTTCTTTTGTCGAAAAAAATAAAAATATGCCGCAAAACGAGTCGATTCTGCTATTGGCAATCAAAAAAAAAAAGAATTAGGAATTCGCTATTTTTAAGTTTAGCGGAATTTGCAAGCCGACCCACATGCAGGAGAACAAATGGTATTATCATCATTAAAAAACACGGAATAATACCTGAATAGAAAAGAAATAACGAACGTATTTTTTGCGGAATTTGATGAAACTATAGAAAGTCTTTATGCGAAACCCTAGGTTTTGTAGAATATATGCCATGAGAAATGTTCTCTTTAACTTGCACATTTCTTGTTACCATTTTTTTTTTGTTTATTTTTCTTGACAAGTACAGATTATTGCTCTTTGGATAATGTTAACTACTCGTTCTCTAATAGTTAAGTTTCTTTTCAGATTGTAAAACGATGAAAAATCTAGATATATTCTTAATTATCGATATTTTACGCAAATAATTCCCCATTTGCTTAAATGAGAGCACCGACCGCAAATTACACTCCGATCAACAGTGTACGTAGCACCAATTTGAGCTTACACGATAGCTATATCAGGTATAAACATGGTATTGAGGAAGGATAGGATTAGAGATGATTACAAGTTTCATCGGCAATTATTATTATTTTCTCAAGATATTGAATATTAATGATATAGAATTATGTAAAAACGATTATTTTTACGAAAATAATATATTATAAAAATATTTATTCATTTTATGAGCGGGAAAACTTAATAAAATGCGAAAAGAATACAGAATAGAAATCGAAGAGAACAGAATCGGAAGCGTAATAAATGCGAAAATATAACAATAGATATTTAAAAATGCGAAAATAAAACGAGGATAGAAATTTAAAAATGCGAAAATATAACAAGGATAGAAATTTAAAAATGCGAAAATATAACGAGGATAGAAATTTAAAAATGCGAAAATATAAAATTTAAAAATGCGAAAATAAAAATTAAAACAAAACAAAACATATCAGAATGCGGGCAATATTAATACATCGTCAAATAATTCAATTAAACAGATTTATTCTTGGCTATGAAGTCGCATCGCCAAATGTCGTCTTTGACTTCGTCTTTGCCTCAATCTTGGCCTTTGTCTTCTCCTTCCCTTTCTTTTACTTCTTCTTCTTCTTCTATCTGCTGCTGTATAAATAGATATAAAATGTCAGTTTTCTCAATATAGAAATAATTAATTTATTATATAAATTTCACATGCCTTCTTCATCTCCAGTACTTGGAGGAAGCAAAGGAGGTATTGGAAAAGCGATAACCGTTATTTCTGGAATCATTGCCGAACTAAACGTTGGATGATAACAATCATAATAATTTATATTAAACTTTTCTAGACCATGGATAAATCCCTCAGAGTTTGTTTGCGTTTGGTCCGACACATTCATATTGTCTGTCGGCATGAATATATTGCCTTCGCATATCTGATAACTATATAGCATCAAATTGTGTGTCATAGTTTATATGTCTACTATTTTTTGAAAATGGGCAGACAGTAAATCTGGATTGAGTACTCAGCCCATATATTTATACGTTTTTCATAATATGAAGAGAATATATTTATTTTAATACCATAATCTATATAAATAGAATCCAGCAATCAGAATGAATAGAACATAAACGTGAGTAGATTTTTGAAATCCGAAGCATCGATTCGGGTCACTGGGTGCATCTTCTAGCAATAACGTGTCCATGACAATTATGAATCTTGTTATCACTACTTTCACAATTCTTATTATCATAAGCAATATTTCAATAATATGTACCAAGAGTTACTTTTGTGTTACTACCCGTACTGGGTTTTGAAGCACTTTTTTGATTCGATCTTTTAAATATTATTAAATTTGAATATTTTAAATATATGGATTGTAATAATCAACTTGAATCAATTAATTTAACATGTATTATTTTCTTGGATAGGGGAGTGATATATAATGCAGGGGTTGGCAATTTTGAAGCACTTTTTTGATTCGATCTTTTAAATTTGAATATTTTAAATATATGGATTGTAATAATCAACTTGAATCCATTAATTTAACATGTATTATTTTCTTAGATAGGGGAGTGACATATAATGCAGGGGTTGGCAAAATCTCGGGTCTTAATAAGTTATAATATTATATATAAGTCGTGTATAAATCTCAAGTAGGGTATGAAGTAATATATTTCGCGCTCTAAGGTGATAATACGTTATCTCTTTCATAATAGAAAACACAGCACAGGTTTTGTTTACCAGATTGAACATTCTTTGTTACAGCAGAGTCGGATAACATAACAGTAATATCATTGATATTTTTTAAACGGTTTTACTTTTAAGTGTAACCCCGATTTTCGTTTTCGATGCATCTTTGTTTTAATTTTACATAAACAATTGGTCACACCAATGACGTGTGTTATATATAGATGTGTGATTATACAGAGATAAAATATATATAAAATATATTTAATGTTAAAAATAACTTTATTAAATTATACTGTAATGAATGCTATTAGTTTATATGATAATCACAATTTATCATTAAATCGATCACCAAAAAATGATTTTGAATGTCTCAAAAAAGAATCGAATGGACGTCGAGATATTGTGTTTTGGTTCTTTTTTGGATTATCGAAAAAATGACGAGCAAATACTACCATTCGATTCGTTTAGTCGAGTCAGATCATTGGATGCTGAGAAATTACGTTTCTAAATTGGCTGATTCATTTAAATTTTGTGATTATAAAGAGGTTTGGGATTTAATCTATAAGCATAAGGCACGGTTAAATCTCGTGATGGTGATTATATATAATTAAGAAGGGTTTCTATTATTAAAAGAATTTGGGCGCATAAGATGTGTGAATATATAGAGGTTATGATTATAGAGAGTGCTTATGTGGCGATATGGTTGTAATTTATCCAATAAATTATCCTGTAATAGAAGAGAAAAAATGCATACATATATAGAGAGTAGTTGTAAATGATCGAATAAAGTGTGTTGATTTTTATAATTGACTTAAATCATGTTAAACCTGTGAGTTGGTTAATGGTTAGGTCCTTGAAGATGATTAAAGGTAGTATAATTTTAAGACTTTTTACTAGGAAAAGTATTGTTGTATCATTCACCTGAACCCGTGATATAAACGATATCACCTGTAACAGTTAGTGCCAGGTTATGACGATCATGTGGTACATACGACCAGATCTGTATACAGTGTATGCTAGACCTTACTTTTAAATAATACATACAAGAAAATGTCACAACCGCATTAATCGCTCATTTCTTATTTTAGCGATGGAATAATTAATCTTTGTGATCTAACAAAACATTATTTCGTGGTCATACAACAGAATTAATTCCCAACCTTTTTTAGGATATCCTGTAAACCCTCTAAAAGATATTTTGAACTATTATTATTCAAATATAGATTTTTGATTTTTCGAATATCCGAATTCATAATCGAATTGAATTAAAAAATGTATAAATAATATCGATGTATATATATAGTATCAGCATGTGTATTGTTACATGATCGCACCTATGAATTTAATAAAATCACCACTATTCTATCGAACGCGTAACTAACTATACCGTTACATAAGTTAGTCGGAATTGATTCGGAAAAAATAACCTTCGTTCCATCATAAGTAATGGGTGTAAATTTTATTTTGACCGATTTTTATGTTTTTCGCCTTAATTGCGTCAGGAAATTTTATTAATTCACATGCGCTACTTTAATAAAAGATGAGAACCTGCTAGAAAAAAAATGTTAATTACAAAATTTAAATGACAAACGAAGCCCCTATAATAATAACTTTAAAGTTTTAAGAATACTCGATGTCGATAATGAAAGCAAGGTACAGAATTGACATTTGGATTTTTGGACAATTGGATTGAACTGGATCCAAGCCCAAATCCAAATGCACAAAAAATCTTGAAATGTCCAAATTTCAAGTGCAATTAATAGTATGTTTTGATATTTAATATAGTTTAGAAAGATTTTGGACAACTCAAGATATTTACTTAGGCCGGTCCAAATGCCAACCCAGATGAAGCTATCTAATCTAGATGTAAACTAATTAAATTTTACAATTGAGCAAAAATAATTGTTGAAAGAAAGAATAAATTATTTAAAAATGAAAATTAAATTAATATTGCTATAATGCCTGAGTACAATGTTTTCCTGACGGATAAGAAACTCTCTATATGTAACAAATAAGCAAGATCCAAACGTAAACATGAAGGATAAGATTACTTGCAGACATCATAGCTCTTTTTACTGCCCATTCGAAAATTTGCAATGGGGGTTACCAAGATACTGATTTTTTTTCGGGTACATGGTGAACTTCCCTTTTAGTTCGCGAATGACGATTGGAGCTAAATCAAAATTTCATGAATCACGTGCTATGTGGCTAGCAACCAATAAGAATGCACAAATTTCTGATCGGTTCAACAAAACAAATCTGACACAAAATGCAAAATATGAAAAAGTGGAAAAATATAAAAACAGGGATGTTTTAACCTAAAAAATGTCGGTGAGGCAATTTTATATAATTTCTGTCTCCTAACCTTGCTATTTGTTGCTCGTCAGTCATATTTAGTCTTGAGAGCATTCAATACATTTTCTTAATATTAAATAACATTGTATTAAATCAAGCTTTTCTCGGCGAAACTTTTAGTATCTCGTTGGGAAGGATATACGCAATATAAAAACCATTCTTGTTTATATGATATGTCAAAATAGCAATATTTAGCATAATAAAAATGAGAAATTCAAGCTTTATCGTATCACTCACGCGAACGAATTCGCTCCGTTATATTTCTCTGAAACATAAACACGCAGTTAGAGTTTGATGTTTTTAATGGTGCTTCGTCTAAAAATTTTTAATCATTATTTTTCTCCTATTTGGAATCGTATCAAATGAATATATTTTGAAAATGCTCTGTTTGTGCGATGAATTAAGAATGAATAACGATAATAAAATAAAACAATTTTATCTACTCTAGGCATCATCACATATGTATATTCTCCCACAGTCCCAGAGGAAACCATTAGAATATCTGAAGACACTAACTTTTTGTAAATTATTATGTCTTACCCTCGCCCTTCTTTTCTAATAATTTATAGACGTATCTGCATGCTTGCAGCAGCGGAATCTATCATTTTTCGTATTTTACTTCTGAACAATAAATCAACATATTTCCAGGATGAAAGTCACGATGTAAAAACTTTTCTTCTGGAATTTTTTCAGATCAGACTATATCATATAAATGATTTAATTTTTTATTCCAAGTTAATTTTTCGTAGTTGGGAATTAAAACATGTATATTTATGGGGATCACTATCGAATATTCATTTGTTTTAGTTATTAATATAATAGCCATAACTACATATAAGAGCGGTCTGAATCTATTCTTGAAAATTTTGATTGTATTAGAAACAAAAGCAACTTTCACTTTAAAAAATGTTCATTTTTACCTCGTGTATAGACTCTTGAGTAATTTGTTTTGAATTGTGTGATGATTTCAACACAACTTCTAAAATAATTTTTTTTCATGATCCCACCACCCATTTATTTCTACGTTCAACAGGTTGCTTTAAAAATTGATCCCTAACCCTTTTTGCAAGATATTTAACGTTGGTAAATCTTTCGAAAGGAATCCGTTCGAATAATCTCTCTGCTTTATCAATTTTGCTGTTAGATTGTCGATATCATTATCAATTTAATTCGTTTTGGTGCCGCCCAACATTCCGACACCCAACATCCTGAAATTCCAACCTCCCGACAATACAACTTCCCGACAACCCAACTTCCCGACAAAGCCAACTTCCCGACAACCCAACTTCCCAACAAAAGTCAACTTCCAGTAAATTATAGGGATCGATAACTAGCATTTATTAACATTTAAACATCAACGCGATAAATAATTCTTGGTAATTGCGCAACTTTATTTTTAATTCGTTAATAACTAACTGATTTAACATAAAAGGGAATTGAACTTAAATTTTAATTACATATAATAAAAAGTTAAGAAAATTGAACGTAAATCTTATATATAAAAGAATAAAAGTAACACATATCATTACAAAGAAAGATTGTGCGCAATTCCACGAAGAAAATCTAACACCGAACGATTTGCTCGATCATTAGTAACATTTATAATTCTTCCCTCTCTATCAATCATTGGCTTTTGTCGGGAAGTTTGGTTGTCGGGATGTTGGTTGGGGTAGACCCAATTCGTTTGTGATATTTGAAACATGAACTACAGTTATAATTTCTTTGACAACGAGTACATTTACTACAATCATGCAATTCTACCACTATCGAAGATTCATTTGTAACCGTGTTTTGAGTTATTCCGTAATCAATAATATTGTCGTCATCATCACTATTGCAAATAGGCACCAAGAATAAATTTTTTTACTCTTCTTTATTCAAAAAAAACGAAAACTTACCTTATTCCATAAAAAAACGAAAACCACGTAACACACATCCTACATGGCCACCAATTTGTCTTAATAAAGCAGAATAATAGATACATATAGCAGCGCTAGTCATGTAGTCATGTGCCAAAAATATATTCGCTTTGCGTATATGTTATCCGGAGTTCGATCCAAATGAATTAACATCGCAAGAATCAGCAATCTGACGTTTAATTCCTGAATTACGGTTGGAGCATTTGACAGGCAAAGAGAAGGGACGAAGAAGTAAATA